TCGGTCATGTCACTGTACCTATGACACTATCTCTTTATCCTTTTTAAAAACCTTTTATTAATGAAATTGTGTGTGCGGAATTCTTAATTATGTTACCATTCTTGAGTTTTCTAACATGTCTAAGGTCAGCATTATTTCACTTTCAAGATCTCTCTACCACTTACTAATGGTTGCAAGATAATACTTTAAATGCATTTTATGGGAAATGATCTGGCTGTCCTTCATATCTTTGAGTGAAATCTAGCCTGGTTGGTTTTTTTTAAATTATACTGTTTAAGTACAATAAATTATGCAGGTTTCCTGCTATTAAAATGCAACGCGTATTTGCAAGAGGAAATTGGAAATCATAAGAAAGCTTTTAGTAGCTTTATTGCTAATCATTATTTATCTCCCGACACATAAAAGGGAGAAATTCTCATCAGTGTGCAAGGAGAAAAAGGGGAGCAAGTTAAACTGCAAAGGAGTGCACCTCCAGAACAGTATCCCTTTTAAGATGTGTTCAAATGTGTGGTGGCAGACAAAAATCAACAGACCCTGACATCTGTTGGTTGACCGTGATTCTGGTGACACCACGAAAGCAAAAGGATACGGCATATATAAATGTGGGAGAGGAGAGTTAAACTTCCAAACTAGTTGCATAGATAGAATCATAGAAATGTAGCGCTGGAAGGGACCTCAAGAGGTCATCAAGTCTTGCCCTCTGCGATGAGGTAGAACCAAGTAAACCTAGAGCATCCCTGACAGGTGTTTATCCAACCTGTTCTTAAATACCTGCAGTGATGGGGATTCTCCAACCTCCCTTGGAAGACTAGTCCAGAGTTTAACTACCCTTATAGTTGGAAACTTTTTCCTAATATCTAATCTAGATCTTTCATGCTGCAGATTAAACCCATTACTTCTTGTCCTACCTTCCGTGGACATAGAGGACAATTGATCACCATCCTCTTTATACCGGCGCTTAACGTATTTGAAGACTTCACAGGTCCTCCCTTTAGTCTCCTTTTCTTAAGATTAAACAGTCCCAGTTTTTATAGCCTTTCTTCAGAGGTCTGGTTTTCTAGACGCTTTATCGTTTTTTGTTGCTGTCATCTGGACTCTCTTCAGTTTGTCCACATCTTTCATAAAGTATGGTGCCCAGAATTGGACATTGCATCAGTGGAGGCCTCACTAGCGCTGAGTAGAGTGGGAGAATTTCCTCCTGTGTCTTACATACAACACTCCTGTTAATATACCCCATGATTTTATCCCTTTTTGCAGCTGCATTACATTCTTGGACATCATCTTACAACATCAGCAGGAAGACAGCAGCTGCAGCTTCAGAAAGAACATATTTCAGTATCTTTCTTTTTTATAAAACAATTTTGGGGAGAAAGTGCCAAATACATTTTTTTACACAAACGCATTATGGAAAATCCTTGCTGTCATTGAATGAACCACAAAAGGTTGTCCTCCACCATATTCTTCATAGGAAGTTTTGGGCCTCATCTTGCCAAATTGTCTCACTGACATCACAAATGATGATTGGCAACATCTGGCCCAAAGTTTGCCAGGGAAGGGTAGTGTTGGCAAAGGGAAGTGCAATTTATACCTCCCTGCACTAGTTTTGCTGAATCTAACTGAATTTGTGCAACATTTAAAGCCAAATTCTTCTTTCAGGTAATGTGTACAGGTGGCTCTACTTGCCTTCACTTTGGCTCTTGAGAAGTGGTCATTAACAAGAAACAGAAAGGCAAAGTCTTCTGTTAGACCTACAGCATTTTGTTGTCCAAAATGATTGTTTTTTAGACTTTAAGAGGTTCATAACTTGGAGAGAACAATATGAAATTGCAGGTGAGGATCTGGTATTCAATAATCATATTATCATAGGACTGGAAGGACTTTGAGAGGTCTTCTAGTACAGTTTCCTGCACTCAAGGCAGGACTAAGTATTATCTAGACCAGGGGTCAGCAACCTTTCAGAAGCGATGTGCCAAGTCTTCATTTATTCACTCTAATTTAAGGTTTTGCGTGCCAGTCATACATTTTAAAGTTTTTAGAAGGTCTCTTTCTATAAATCTATAATATATAACTAAACTATTGTTGTATGTAAAGTAAATAAGGTTTTTAAAATGTTTAAAAGCTTCATTTAAAATAAATTAAAATGCAGAGCCCCCCCGGACCGGTGGCCAGGACCCGGGCAGTGTGAGTGCCACTGAAAATCAGCTTGTGTACTGCCTTCAGCACGCGTGCCATAGGTTGCCTACCCCTGATCTAGACCATCCCTGACAGGTGTTTGTCTAGCCTGTTCTTAAAAATCTCCAATGAAGGAGATTCCATAAACTCCCTAGCTAATTTATTCCAGTGCTTAACTACCCTGACAAGAAGTTTTCCCTAATGTCCAACCTAAATCACCTTTGCTGCAATTTAAGCCCGTTGCTTCTTGTCCTATACTCGGAGGTTAAAGAGAACAATTTTTCTCCCTCCTTCTCGTAACAACCTTTTATGTACTTGAAAACTATTATCATATGCCCCCTCAGTCTTCTCTTCTCCACACTAAACAAACCCACTTTTTTCAATCTTCCCTCATAGGTCATGTTTTCTAAACCTTTGATCATTTTTCTTGCTCTTCTCTGGATTTTCTCCAATTTGTCCACATCATTCCTGAAATGTCGTGCTCAGAACTGGTGACAATACTCCAGTTGAGGCCTAATCAGCGCAGAGTAGAGCAGAAGAAATACTTCTTGAGTCTTGCTTATAACACTTCTGCTAATACATCCCAGAATAATGTTTGTCTTTTTTTTTTTTTTGGCAACAGCATTATACTGTTGACTTATATTTAGCTTGTGATCCACTATGGAATATTGGACCCCATAGATGAGATCCAAGTGTCTCTGCTACCTTGAGGTGAAAATAATAGCACTAACGGAACTGGAAATAGATGTATCAAATCAAAGCACATTCTCCACCTTGTCTTCACCTCAGAAAATTTCCAATTGTTTCTTACATTCTGGAAGCCAAATATGAAATGAGATTTTTTTTCTTTCTTGCTATAAAATGCAAGCACAAACTGAGCTACAGTCACCCCTTCTGGAGACTTTTTCTTTTCTAATACGATTTACTTCTTTTTTCTCTGTCTGTAACATTTTTCTGTAGATAATGTTTTCTTCTGGCCATTCCATCTGAGTATCTTTCCTGGCAGTATTCTGAAGCATATCAAGTGACCCTGCAGCTGCTCCTCCACGTGGCCAGCCTGTAGGAAGTTAAAAAACCAAGAAAACATTATTTTTAAAGTAAGTGTAGTAACTGTGGCTTTGGCATTCGCACCTGCTGCAGCTATGGTACAGCAGCCTGGAATGCTGTTTTGGAGAAAGAAATAGCCAACGAGAGGAGCTTGGAATCTGCCCCAAGGAGGGGGTAGTTGGAAACTGGTTAGAGAAGAACTGTGACCAGTGAGGTTGACCGTTGGGATGCTGACAAAGGGAAATACAGTTTGGGTGCTTGGAGAATGGGTGTGGCCCTCCAGGTCAAGGGCTGTAGTTCACAGGTGGACCTGTTCGATAAAGGTCTGGTCATCACAGGGTCAAAGCAAAGGAGCATCGTAAGCCAGATAGAGGTAGAAGCAGGACAGCAGGGGTGAAGCTGGACTTCGTAGCCAGGGAGAGGAGGAGTTGATTTCCTTGGGGTGACTCAGAATGTTTAAGAAAAAACTTCTTTTATAATGATGGTAATTTATAGTTTATTCTCCTAAGCAAGTATTTTATTTTATATAATTCTATTATGTATATTATATTATTGTTCCTGCCTAATTTCTGGGTTTTTCCTTTATAAAGTTTTAAATTATCTCCATTGTATTGGTTTGCCTCTGCATCTCCCCACTGTAGGCATAGCCCCTAGCTGAGGCCTGGGTCACTCCATATCTGGGATGAGGGTCTGAAAACAACATTCCTGGCTTTTGGGATTACATGATCACTGTACTCACAGCTGATCGGCACATGGGGACCATAGAAGGAGCACATCTGGATCTGTTTTTTTGGTGGGAGGGGAAAAAATTGTTTTATCTTATTGTTTGCATAGGAGAGAGATATGTGCAGACTTTTTGCCCATATCACTTACACAACTGAGGGTGATTCAACATTCACAGAACTCACATTTTATCATAAATAGTGTAAAGTTGTGACAAGTACCCAAAATTTCCCATGAACCTAAAACCTATTAACACGGAGATAAAGGAAAAACCGTATGACCAAAGCAGTAGTGCGAGCCCCAAAGTTTCAAAACCCACAAGTCAGGCCCACCCAAAATCATGAGGCTGACTTAAAAATCTCGAGATTTTAAAAAATACATCCAGAGTTCTTTTTATTTGCTTCTGGTTGTGGAGTTTTCCTCTTTAGCGATGAGGACTTTAAAAGAAAGAAAGAAAGAAAGAAAGAAAGAAAGAAAGAAAGCGGAGACGCATCATGACTCCAGGAGCTGAGGGTTTAAGGCACACAACTATCACAAGACTTGGGACACAACCAAGAGTTGGCAACACTGCAGTGCACGTATTCCCCCCATACAGTCTGACAGTCTTTCAGTGTCCCCCGGGAACGCAGCCCCTCTCTGGGTTATGCAGGGCTTTAGCTAGCCCTGGGGTGTGCTTCGCCCCTGGGTGCCAAGTGGAGCCCCTGACAACGGCGCTGGGTGCAGGGCAAATACATTGCAACTCGCTTCGGAGCTCCCTCCGGCCTGCGCCGAGCCGCGAAACGCGAACAGGATGATGTCTGCCCCCTCTCGCTCTCCGTAGTGCGTTCCAAGTCTGTGGGCGTGGCGGAAGGCTCCTCTCCTCGCTCCGTTGTCAAACACAAAGGGACTACACTTCCCAGGCGGGCCCCGCGCGCCGCCCTCGGCCACCATCTTGGAAGCGTTGGTTTGATTGCCTGACCCGCCCCTTGTCTCGCGCAACGGCCGGTTGGACGTCGTGACGTCTGAAGCGGGCCGTGGGCAGGGCACCGATGAGGGGAAACTACAATTCCCACGCTGCCCCGCGCGGCCGCGCATGCGAGCTGCTGTTTTGCCGCCATCTTGGCTGGACGGAGCTGCCTGCCGCCGCCACTAAACAAACCCGAAGCTACCCGGGCTCTGCCGCTGAGGAGCCTTTAGATGTTCCCGGAACGGCCGGGCAGGTGGGTCCCCTCCGCCCGGGAGCTTGGGCGGGGGCGGGAGGGCGACTCCCCCTCCGTGGGCTTGTTTGGTGCCGTGTCCACGTCAGTGAAAGGCGCAGGAGTGGGCAGCTCCCGCTCCCCCCCGCCCCCCGCCCGGTAGGCGGAGAGCGCAGCGTCCTCTCACCGGGCTGAGCCTGCCCTTTCCCGGGCTGAGCGAGAGGCTTCCGTCCGGCCCCCTGGCTGGGGGAGGAGGGAGCTGTGGCCCCTCCCCTCCCCCCACGCACCCGTCTCTCGGCTGAGGGAGGAGGGAGCTGTGCTCTCCCACACACAC